CGAAGCTAGCGAGGTGACTGTGATGTGTGAAAAGTGGGGTGCGCTCGGGCCTAGGCCGAGGTTGGAAAATTTCGAGGCGAAGGTCCGGGCGTGGGTTACCAACCGAACCGTGAGGTTGGGTCGCGTCGTGAACAGTGGCGGGAAGAGCGGTCGAGGCGAGTGTCGCGAGTGGTAACGGTGCACTGTTGGAAACTATTGGCGGGAATAGTGGTGTACGCGCTAAGCAGGGACGCGAAGTACCGTCATACCCCGGATATAAGCGCCACCCTGGGATAAGCGCCAAGCGCTTGTAATTGGTATATGACGCTATTATCCGCTCCTCGATTATAAGCGCACCCCCTAAAAAAAATCGTTTTATTATAAGCGCACCCCCTAAAAAAATCGTTTTATTAAAATTTTTGAAATGTGTTCAAAACACTGTAACGATTTTCACTTTAAAGCCGGCAGCCCAAATTGCACAGCTTTTGAAAGCTTGACGCGAGGGGATTTTTCTGGTCTGGGGTTTGGCGAAAGATTCCGATTTCGGTTTTTTTCGTTTTTTTCGCCAAACCCAGCCTGTCCTCGTATTTCGCCTTGGGGGTTGGTTCAGTCCCCCGAAAGTCCCAAATTGCAGGTTCGTTTTTTTTCAAACCTTGCAAACAGAAGTTTGTCAACTTTTAAAAGCTTGACCCCCCGGCCCGCAATTTGGGCCGCGGGCTTTAACAGGCGGATGCAGGGCTCAGGTTTGGTTTTTGGCAGTGTAGCTTTTTCAAAAACCCTTATGGGCAGTGTGTACTTTTCCATTACACTGATAGAGCAGTGTAACATCAGGTTTTGAAATTTTTACCCTGCATCATCAGTGTGGTTTTTTTTCAAGCACTGACACATCCCAGATGACAGATGGCGAGAAAGAGTCAGGTCCTTTCCCACCTCGACCGTTAGTTTATGAGGGGCGGGGGGGAAGGGGAGGACTTACGAAATTGGCGACAATTTTGCCTCCCCTTCCCCCTCGATCGATTGTTTGTAAGGGGAGGACTTACGAAATTGGCGAGAATTTCGCCTCCCCTCCCCCTCGACCGATTGTTTCTGGGGAAGGGGGGGGGAGAGGGGGGGGGGGGGGGGTCCGTGTACGCTCTTCAGTGTAATCTTCGCTAAGGGAAACTTTACCCCAAGGCATCAGTGTGGCCTACATCGATACACTTACTGATCAGTGTAACACTAACTCATAAAAAAATTACCCCAGCACATCAGTGTAGACCCAAAATTTCACCCTTGTAATCAGTGTAGAAGGGTAAATTACATTGATAACCTGAGCCCTGGGCAGATGTGTTGCAGATTCGGTTCCCTTCACATTCGGACCCTGCACTGGATGCGAGTCCAGTCAGCAGGAGCTGTCAGGAGCTGGATGTGAGTCAGATTGAGTGTATCTCCCAGCGCGCGCGAGAATTTCACAGACGACCCCATGTAACTTCGACTCGATTGAAAAGGCAAGCACGAGATCTACAGTTTGTTGTTAGGAAATTAAAAAATGTATATATGTCATTTTATAAGCGCCTGCACTTATAAATTTGATTCAATTATAAGCCCACCCCCTAAAAAAACATGTATTATTATACCCCCCATGGGGGCTTATCCGGGGGGTGATGGTAAGGAATTTTCCTTACATTTGTACTCATTTGAATCCTTGTGCAATCCTCGCTGTCTTTTTCCATTGCTCCAACCCAACAAAACCGCTCCAACCACTTGCCATATTCCCGTCGCCTCTCCCTCCGATCCCACCGTCGCTCTCCCTTCCGTATCGCCGTCGCCTCCCTCTTAGCCCGCCATCGCCTTCCCCTCCCATCCCGCCGTCGCCTTCCCCTGCCACCCCGCGGTCGCGTCCGCCTTCTCCTCCCCCTCTCATCCCGACGTCGCCTCCCCCTCTCATCCCGCCGTCGCCTCCCCCTTTCATCCCGCCCTCGCCTCCCCCTCTCATCCCGACGTCGCCTCCCCCTCTCATCCCGCCGTCGCCTCCCCCTCTCGTCTCCCCCTCTCATCCCGTCGTCGCCAGCGTTTCGCGAAGCTCCTCCGTCGCACTCCGCGATGCCCGATGCGCCGCTCTGGTGACGCGAATCACCCGCCGCGGACCCTCCTGCCCGGCAGTGCGCTTCACACGTGAGGCGGGCGGCGCGCGTGGCGGGGCGGCATCATCATGGTGCTGCTAACGATCATCCGCAAGCTGAAGCGCAAGGAGCGCGAGATGCGCATCCTCATGGTGTACGCGCCAACGCCACGCCCGCCGCGACAAACCAACTTCTCTCCCCCGCGCCTCTTCTCTCCCCCGCGCCTCTTCTCTCCACCGCGCCCCAACTCTCCCCCGCGCCCCTTCACTCCCCCGCGCCGCTTCACTCCCCCGCACCCCTTTTCCCCTTCGCTGCCCTTCTCTCCCTCACGCTCCTTCTACCCCCCGCGCCCCTTCTCTCCCCCGCGCCCCCTCTCTCCCCCGCGCCCCTCCTCTACGGCTTCTCGCCTCCTTCTGTCGTCGCGCGCCCCTGTGTTGCTGAGCTCCGCGCCCCTTCTCTCCCCCGCGTAACTCCTCTACCGCTTCTCGCCTCCTTCTGTCGTCGCGCGCCCCTGTGTTGCTGAGCTCCGCGCCCCTTCTCTCCCCCGCGTAACTCCTCTACGGCTTCTCGCCTCCTTCTGTCGTCGCGCGCCCCTGTGTTGCTGAGCTCCGCGCCCCTTCTCTCCCCCGCGTAACTCCTCTACGGCTTCTCGCCTCCTTCTGTCGTCGCGCGCCCCTGTGTTGCTGAGCTCCGCGCCCCTTCTCTCCCCCGCGTAACTCCTCTACGGCTTCTCGCCTCCTTCTGTCGTCGCGCGCCCCTGTGTTGCTGAGCTCCGCGCCCCTTCTCTCCCCCGCGTAACTCCTCTACGGCTTCTCGCCTCCTTCTGTCGTCGCGCGCCCCTGTGTTGCTGAGCCCCGCGCGCCGCTGTGTTGCTGTGTTGCTGGCAGGGGGCTGGACAACGCAGGCAAGACGACGATCGTGATGCGATTCAACGGCCAGGATACGTCGCAGGTGGGCCCCACGCTGGGGTTCAGCATCACCACCCTGCGCTACAAAGGGTGAGCGGCGGCGGGGCGGGGGAGTGAGGTGGGGGGAGAGGGAGGGAAGGCGGGGGACTGGTTTGGAAGGGAAAGACCCAGAGAATCGGGGGTACAGCACGTGGCGCGTGGGAGGGAAGGCGGACAGGGTGAGAGGGGGAAGGAAGTGCAGGAGGGCGCGAGGGAAGTCACAGCGGATTCACCCTTCTGCCCACCACTGCCCCGCACTCCTCTCCTGCTTCGTTGCCCTTGCTCTCCCCACGCCCCACCTCCCTGGGCGTGGCAGGTTCAACCTGAACGTGTGGGACGTGGGCGGGCAGCGCACGCTGCGTGCGTACTGGCGCAACTACTTTGAGCGCACGGACGGACTCGTGTGGGTCGTCGACAGCTGCGACCGCCTCCGCCTGGCCGACTGCCGTGACGAGCTGCACCGCGTGCTGCTGGAGGAGGTGAGACGAGCTGCACCGCGTGCTGCTGGAGGAGGTGCGGGGGGGAGGGAGCGGGAGGTGTGGGAAGGGGAAGGTGAGACATTAATGCTGAATTCTTGTGTTTTTTCTTTAACATGGTTCTTGATTGCCTGCCTCTTGTCCCGTGCACCCCACCAGAGACTGGCAGGCGCGTCTCTGCTGGTGCTGGCGAACAAGCAGGACCTGCCGGGTGCACTCAGCACCGAGGAGATGAGCGAGGTAGGCTGAGGGGGGGAGAGGGGTGGGCTGGGGGGGAGAGAGAGGTGGGTGCTGAAGGGGGGAGAGAGGTGGGAGGAGAGAGGGGGAGAGAGGTGGGAGGGAAGAGAGAGCGGGGGAGAGGAGGGCAGAGAGAGGGTGAGATAGGTGGTCAGCGGAAGGGCGAGATAGGAGGGCAGAAGAGAGAGAGGATGAGAAAGATGCGCAGAGAGAGGTTGAGAGAGAAGGGCAGGGAGGGTGAGAGATGTGGGCAGAGAGAGAGAACTGGCCAATGCTAGTTGGGTTGCCTTACACCCACATGGTGGAACAGCCCACTGACCACGCTCAAGTATGTGGTTGTGCCTGTTGCCATGCTGTTTCACCTCTCACCACGCCTGTACCTGGACATGTAAGTCTTCGTGTGAAGCCAGGGTTCAAACTTCAAAGCAGGTCTCGCCTGATTCATGTGATGCCTTGCCCCCTCTCCCACGCGCTGCGCGCAGGTGCTGGGTGTGAAGGCCCTGGCGGAGGGCAGGCGGCACTGCCACCTCGTGCCCTGCAGTGCCAAGACCGGGGAGGGGGTGCTGGGGGGATTCGAGTGGCTTGTGACTGACATTGCCTCGCGGATATACATGTTTGACTAGCACCTCTTGCTCTGACCTGCTGGGGAGCTTGCAGTGGAGTTCACAGTTTGATTTCGCCACTTGGGTGTACTATGGTGGAACAATGCAGTTTCTTGCGTTTACAACCCGCAATTTAATTCTTCCCACGGGTCATCTATCCTGTATAGTAGGTCATCGTCGTGGTGATACGGTACCACTGTATGCTTCCACTAGCTTTCCGTGCGTTTCTACTCTTTACACCCTCCCAGCCTGTTAATACCACGGTATTCTGGAGATGAGCACACTGAGAAAGCCTCTATTGTTGATTTTTGTCCCTCTTTTGTCCCTCTGTGCAAATTGGTTTTCATGGCTCTCGCTGAGGCTCTCGTTTATTGTCCAGCAATTAATCTTACTTGTTACGAATGCATTTGATCAAACTAAGGAAAGTCCGTGGCAGAAAGATTCTTGCACTGTACTATCAAACAATGACAATCCATGAGTGGAGTGGAGTCCCTTTCTTTTATTCACAAACATTACAACATCCATCCGGCATCACTCACCCCATTCCTCCTGCCAGTCCATGGTTTATTCTGGCCCCTCTACACTCCAAAACCAGTGGTTCGGAGCTGTTTTGAATCACTGAACTGGATAGTCCCTCTTGCTGCGCGAAGATAAGGCTCAGAGGTTGGGTGGCTCGAGGCACCATGACACTCCCTGTGCAGCAATGTTCTTCACCAGCCCCGCATTTGGCACCCTCATCTCTGTATACGAATACCGGTACCCTTCGCTCGCCACAACCCTCGGTGGAACCGTATCTAAAAACGCAGCCCACGAATCAGAGGTCTTTTTGAGTGGCAGGTTCTGATTGAAAGTCGGGAAGAGCTTGTTTTGAGGGGCGGTATTGATTTCCATCGCGTTGTACCGGCCCTTGATAATGTGGTAACGGAGTAACCGGATCTTCTGGTTGCGGGTGAGGCTGTCAAAGTCTTTTACTTTTGTGCGCTTCAACCCTCCATTGGCGGGGATGAGGATGGTTGCATCCTCATCAATTACCAGATCCCCGGACTTGACTGCACGGCGGCGCATGGGGTTAGGAGCAGTGGGGTGGACAAGGGGGGGAGTGGGATAGGAGTAGATAGGAAGGCATGAGAGCAGAGTGAGGCAGAGAAAGTGGTCGTCGCTGGTGGGGATGAGAAGGGTCGCTTCTTGCATCCTGGTCATGAGTAGCCGCCCGGTTTGGACAGGAAATGGGTACAGAGCGGTTCAGAAGGGTTGAGAACTCACAGAAGCTGGTGAAGGCCTGGGTGAATTTGGAATAACGCGTCTGATTCAGGCTTATGGCCGCCAGCCGCATGACTTCCTTAGCCTGCGCCTGGTAGTTGGGCAGCAGCTGCGACGCCCAGTCGGATTGCGCCTTGGCCACGTTCACCCCGCTTGCGCTCAGCAGGCACGCCACCAGCAGCGCGGCGATACCGCTGCTCGCGACAACCGTGTTTCGCATGCGGACGGCCATTTCTTTCTGAGGGAAGGGAACCGAACTCGCACACGCAGTCCTCTCAAAAATCGGCGCCGGCTAAGCAAGAAAATACGTGTCAGTGGGGGCAGCAGCTTAGAACGGTAGCAGCTCGTGCTGGAGGAGGAACGTCTTGCTTAAACGAATGACTTGCGGGAATGGTGTGGATGAAGCTGCTCACCCTCGCTGATTTTATACCCTCAACGGGCCCAACACGCGGAGGGCCCAACACGCGGAGGGCAGCGCGCAGCATTCGGCTGGTTGAGCTCACGCAATCTGAATGGCTGTTTCCTGTCGCGCAGGCGCGCAACAAGTCGAGGAATGGTATCGGCTCGAGATTCGAGGGGGTAGGGGAGCAGTTTCGGCCGAGGTGATGGCGAACTTCTCTGGGGGAGAACGGTTGGCGAGTGTTTGCGAAGCTGCATCGCAACGAGCGGCGAGTTTCCGCGCAGAGAGGAATGGCGCAAGCGCAACGAGCGGAGACGGCTATACTTTACACTGTAAACCGCGCTTTCTGTTTCTCAACCCTTAACCTCCAAGGTTACGTAACCGCGGGGACACCTCACACAGGCTGTTCATAACCGCGCGCTATTCTGGGGCCTACGAAACGGGCCACAAACTTAGGGTTGAAAAACAGACAGCGAGGTTCGGTTGAAGGGGTATTACTACTCGACACCCTGCGGCGAGACCTGAGCGTCGCCGCGATGACGCCGCCGAGATCCCGCGGCATCGGGGGGCGAGGCAGCGGAGAGGCTGTTGCATTCGCGCGCTGGGGGTTCCAGTCGTCGCCGCTCGTTAGCATGATAGCTAGCGGATAGACACCTCATACCTGCTGCGCATACTCTCGCACCAAGCAGACAGGGAGAGTAGGTTGGCTGCGATCGGAGTGAAAGAGCTCGGGGCGAACGTGAGGCGCATTGTGGCAAGGGCGAGGGCGGCGCGAATAAAATGAGGGAATGGCAGGCTTTTGCAGGTGACGAGAAGACCCAATGGAGGCCGACATTGGAAGGCGAATTGCAGTTTGGATTTGGTAACAGCAACGGCCGGTTCGTCTTCCGCTTTGTGTTTGGGTCTAGCTCAAAACCTTCGTGTAGCTTTAGACAGTTACAAAAGTTTCTTACAAAATAGGAAACTGGAAATCATGTGTGGTGTATGTGAATGTTACGAGTGCAATGGAACAAGATATCGAGGATTGCACTAGGTGTCGAACGAGTAAAAAGTATGAGCGAAAGAATGAGCAAATACTTCTATGCGAAACATGCAAATAGTAACGCGATGCGTGCGAGCTAACTAGCGTTATGCTAGCACCAAGGTTCGGGCTAGTCCCGAAGCGTAGGCCGACTCGGCCGGGCCAGCCATGCACGCTTTGGTGAAACATCTCAAACTTAGGCATGAATGAGTTGAGACTATCGAGAGAGTTGTACAAGATGAAAACCCTAAGGGGTTATACCCCACAGTATCTACCCCACTACAGCCTACCATAAGTATAACATATAAATATATGTTTGGCACACCCCCATAGGCAAAGTGGGGGAGAGCAAGAGGTCACAAGACCAGTCAAGAAAAGCAAAGCAAGCTCAGGGTGGATCACAAAGTCACCACACACACTGAGCACAAGCAAAAGGCCACAAGGCCAGTTCACATGCAGAGATATATATGCAACAAGAACAGCACAGTGATCACTACCTAGCAAGAGCAAGCATGCAGGTATATATATATATATATATATATATATATATATATATATATATATATATATATATATATATATATATCACAGTACAATCAAGTCTACAGCAAGTGTAGAAACGTAGTACATAAACGCAGATGATCACCAGATGGAAGTGCCTTGGTGAATATATCAACAGTGTTGGCCCGAGTGGCCACGTGAGCAAGACGAAGCTGACCTCGCTGCTGCAACTCTCGAGCCAGGAAGTAACGCAGAGCGATGTGCTTCGTAGACCGCCAAGAAACAGAGCCAGAGCCAAGGCTGAACGTGTAACCCTGTGACGACCGCTGCGTAGCCTGGTCGACAACCCAAGACGCGTGAGAGTGTCAAGTGAGGACAACGTCGCTCTGTCCTCCAAGCACGAGCCCCATGCCCGACGTACTGCACAGGTAGCGCAGTACCCTCTTTGCAGCATCCATGTGCACCTTTCGGTGCTGACCAGGAGCCACGTAGCGAGTCAAAAGGCCAAGAGGGTACGCGAAGTCAGGTCGAGTGCAGGTCATCAGGTACATGAGGCAGCCCACTAGCTCTGCGTAAGGACCACTCGCTCTGCGGACTCGTCTGAAGGTGGAGCTGAGAGCGAGTGACCTGTAGCCAGCGGAGTGGGCTGTGGGGAGGACCAGGTGAAGCCGAAGCGCTGAAGGACCTGCTGCACCATGTGTGACTGAGTCAATGTGATGGTGCGGCATGCTCGCTCTGTCTCGGGTGATCTGCAAGCCAAGGTAGCCGCGCAGCTAAGCCAGGTCAGTGCACGTGTGTCTCTTCTGCAGCTCCGACTTCACCAGAGCGAGAGCCTCAGTGTCAGCAGTGGCAAAGACCAAGTCGTCGACGTACATGAGGATGTAGAACGACATTAGCGAAGTGTCGGTGCGCAGAAACAGCGACGGGTCAGCAGTCGAAGGAGCGAACCCAAGAGCCGCAAGTGTAGTCCTCAGTGTGTCGTGCCACTCACGAGGCGCCTGACGGAGACCGTAGACTGGCCGCCGGAGGCTCCATTGGGTACCAGGAGGGAACGACCCAGTGAAGCCAGGTGGGCGGCGCAACCAGATCTCCTCGTGCAGGCTACCCTGTAAGAAGGCTGTGCTGAAGTCAAGAGAGTGAAGCTCGTAGTCGCGCTGAGCGGCAACATGCAGCAGCACCCGAAGAGTGGTCATCTTCGGGGTAGGGGAGAAGGTCTGGAAGAAGTCAACCCTCTCATGCTGACTGAAGCCTCTAGCAACGTAACGAGCCTTGAAGACAGGCGGAGAACCCGGCGGCCGCTTCACCCTGAAAATCCACATGCCATCGACGATGTTCGCCCCAGGAGGGGGAACCTCATCGACGTAAGTGCCTGTGGACTTCCAGGATGCCATCTCTGCGTCCATGGCTGTCTGCCACTAAGAGGAGTACTCACCCGCGATCGCCTCAGCGTAAGAGCGCGGGGTCGGGATGTCTGGTGCATCCGGGTCTTCCTCAGGGGCAAGCAGCATGGCCACGAGATGAGGCGCAGCGGCTGCAAGACACTCAAGGTCCTCGTGCTTGTCCTCAAGGACGTCCGTGCCAAGAGCACACTCACCCCCGACGAACGGAGGACAGACATACTCAGACTCAGCAACAAGACTAGCGGCGTAGTCTAGACGACAGGCAGCAGCAAAGTCAACAAGCTCAGCAACCAAGGCAGACGCAGCAGCAGACTCGAACGACGGGTCAGTGACAACAGTGGCTAACAGACGCGTAACAGTAGGGTGCTCAGCACAAAATCGGTTAGACTCAGGGTCCGCAACGTCAGGCAGAGAGGACGCAGGAGGAGATGGCAGAGGAACAGGCTGCGGAGCAGAGGAAGGACGACGGACTACGAGGTGTGTGCTAGGGACAGTCAACTGACGCGAACGAGGAACACGACGACCGGAACGACCAGGACGAACAGGCGAGACAGGACGCGACGCAGGCTCACGACGCTCAGCAAGACCACCGGGCTGCTCAGTGTAAGGAGGAGGAGCAGGGAGCGGTGAGCCAGGCAGTAACGGAAGACCAGTAGACGACGGGAGGGTAAGAACCTGACGAAGAACAGAGTCAGGCGACCGCAGAGAAGACGGAGACGGCGGAGCGAACAACAGTCGTGTCGGCACGGCTGCACCAGCACCAGCAGCTCTAGTACCTCCAGCAGCTCCAGAACCTCCAGCCCCTAAACCGGCACCTCCAGCCCCAGGGTCTCCAACCTCAGTGTCTCCAGTAGCAGCACCCCCAGAACCAGCACCTCCAGTCCCAGGGTCTCCAGCCTCAGTGTCTCCAGCAGCGGCACCCCCAGACGCAGCACCCCCAGCCCCAGCAGCTCCAGTACCTCCAGTACGAGCACCTCCGGGACCAGCGACTCCAGCACCTCCAGTAGACAAAGTACCAGCACCACTCCTAGCTCCAGGGACGTCAGCAGAAGTACCTCCAGCAGCAGAGCCCCGGGCTCCAGCAGCGCGACCCTGACGGCGACCGTACCACTCGTGCAGCTGCTGTGAGGTGAGAGGCACACGCGGACGAAGGCGGCCACTCCAAGGAGACCGCGCACCAGCAGTCTCACCTCCAGACTCAGCACCCCCAGACTCCGCACACACAGGCTCAGCACCCCCAGACACAGCACCCCCAGGTGCAGCACCTCCAGTCTCCTCACGCGCAGGCTCAGCACCCCCAGACTCCGCACCCCCAGACTCAGCACTCCCAGGCTCCTCACGCTCAGGCTCCGCACCCCCAGGCACCTCACGCTCAGGCTCCGCACCCCCAGGCACCTCACGCTCAGGCTCCGCACCCCCAGGCTTAGCACCCCCAGCAGGACCCGAGTCACCAGTGACCTCAACAGGCGCAGGCACAAAAGGGTCTACCTAGGGAGGACCTGCAGCGAGAGCGAGCGGCGGCAGGGGGCAAGGGGCAGTACGGTTGGGAAAGAGACGGTAAAAGGGGACGGACTCGTCAAAGGTGACGTCCTGAGACGCAAAGACACGGCGCGAGGTGGGGTCGTAGAACTGCCAGCCAGGCGCGTCAGTAGGAAAACCAAGGAAGACGCAGGGAATGGCGCGAGCGGAGAGCTTGTCCGCGGTGGTATCACGGACAAAGGCACGAGCACCCCAGACCCGGAATCGCGACGCATCGCCAACCTTCCCCGTCCACAGCAGTGTGGGCGAGGTCTCCGGCAAGGAGACACAGGGCCAGAGGTTGAGCTGATGCGCGGCATACCGGACCGCAAACGGCCACAGAAAATGGGGGGCAGCCGCATGGATCATGGAGGTACGAG